CGTGTATCATAAGATTATGTTTTATTTCTTAACAGTCTTACTTGTCTATGACATACATATGTTGTGTATGTATATACAAGGCCATAACACAAAAGCTATGTTTTATTTTGGGTCCAGAGTCAAAATGTCTAATAATCACTGTTTTGGAAAGAGCCTGGGCTTTGGCATCAGATGAGTCTAAATCTCAGTGTTTTACTACTGCTATTAATATCTAAAGAGTTCCTGTTCCAGGGCGCTCAGGACTGGTGCACTGGGATAATCCTGAGGGATGGGATGGTGAGGGAGGTGGGAGGGAGGGTCAGGTTGGGGAACACATGTACACTCATGGTAATTCATGTGAATATATGGCAAAAAACCCCCACAATAGTATAAAGTAATTAGTCTTCAATTAAAATAAATTTTAAAAAAAGAAAAAAGAGTTCCTGTCCCAAGTCAATCCTCTCTCCTCAGACTACTTGTGAAACCAAAGAAAAATTCCTTTTCTATTAAAATTCAAATATTAACAGCCCCAACCCTTTATGGTGGCTATTGGAAACTTCTTATTGACAACAAAACTAATATTTAAATTATGATTTGAGATGAACAAAACTTTACTCATTCAGCTGATATTTATAAATGCTTAGCCTAAACTCCATGAGAGCAGAAATCATATGGATTTCCCTTGCACTCAAGCCAGATTTTTTAAATAGTAAGGCTCTATGAATATTCCATTATAACAATGGTTGAGCAAATAAAAGACTAAAGAAGCCAGTGAATGACTACTCTATTGCAGGCACTGGAGTAAAAATGAACAAGGCATAAAACTGAGTCTTTAAGAAAATCAGATATATACATGTACTACTTAAGTTTTTAGTAAATATTTATTTAGAAACTACTCTTTTTCAGGTACTTTGCTAGCTACTACAATAAACAAAACAACAAAATTTGCTCCCTAAAGGTGAAGAGAATATTACATAATAATCATAAAAACAGCTATAGAGTGGAAGTTCAGTGTTATGCAGGGTATCAGGAAATAGTAAAATAACAAAACTTAATATAGACACAGAAGAGAATTAGGAAATGCTCAGAAAAGCAGCTCCATGAGCAAATGTAGCCTGAATCTGAGGGTTAAAAGCTAGATGCTCCCCCATGCTGCGCCCCTTCAAGAGAGAACAGAGAAAAGACCAGTGTAGACTGACAGACTGAACTAGCAGGAAACTGATGGGGAATAAAGTAAGAAACGTAGACAGGAGCCAAGTCATTCAAATCAGCCTTTCCTAAGGAGGCTGAACCATGGGAAACTGAAGAGCTGCATGATCACATGTACACTCTATAAAGATAACTGTATTATTCCATGGAGGGTAGCTTTGAAGATGAAGTAACAGTAGATGTTGTTGGGAAACTACCTGAAAGAAATTTCAGAATGTCAAAGTGGAAATGATTGCATCATCTTAGATATGACCATGGAAGGGAATGAGAAGTGTCCAGAATTGAGGTTATTTTGGACATGAAGTCAAGAAGAGATCTTGGTGAGGAATTAAGAGCGGAAGATGGCACATGGTGAGGGCAGAGGAAGGCACCAAGGAGAACACTTAGGTCTTGACTTGACCAACCGACTGGAAGAAAGAGAAGTGGGAGGCTGAAGAGACAGATGTTTGTGGTAAATGATTAAATCAGTAGTATAACATTAAATCTGAAGTGTCGACAGGATGTTCAAAACTTTCAGGAAGGTACTTAATATCAGGTATGAAGACCAGAGGAGAGATCTAGCAAAGAGATACATATATGAGAAATATACACAATTTTACATATGTAATTTAAATAATGTAGATAAATGTGCTCACCTCAGTTCAGTTCAGTTCAGTCACTCAGTCATGTCCGACTCTTTGCGACCCCATGGACTGCAGCACACCATGCTTCCTTGTCCATGACCAACTCCTGGAGCTTACTCAAACTCATGTCCATTCAGTCAGTGATGCCATCCAACCACTTCATCCTCTGTCGTCCCCTTCTCCTCCCACCTTCAATCTTTCCCAGCATAGGGGTCTTTTCAAATGAGTCAGCTCTTCACATCAGGTGGCCAAAGTACTGGAGTTTCAGCTTCAACATCAGTCCTTCCAACGAATATTGAGGACCGATTTCCTTTAGGACTGATTGTATCTCCTTGCAGTCCAAGGGACTCTCAAGAGTCTTCTCCAACACCATAGTTCAAAAGCTTCAATTCTTCGGTGCTCAGCTTTCTTTATAATCCAACTTTCACATCCGTACATGACTACTGAAAAAACCATAGCTTTGACTAGACAGATCTTTGTTGGCAAAGTAATGTGTCTGCTTTTTAATATGCTGTCTAGATTGATCATAGATATCCTTTCAAGCAGCAAGCATCTTTTAATTTCATGGCTGCAGTCACCATCTGCAGTGACTTTGGAACCCAGAAAAATAAAGTCTCTCACTGTTTCCTTTGTTTCCCCATGCATTTGCCATGAAATAATTGGACTGGATGCCATGATCTTTGTTTTCTGAATGTTGAGTTTTAAGCCAACTTTCTCACTCTCCTCTTTCACTTTCATCAAGAGGCTCTTGAGTTCTTCTTCACTTTCTGCCATTAAGGGTGGTGTCATCTGCATATCTGAGGTTATTGACATTTCTCCTGGCAATCTTGATTCCAGCTTGTGCTTCATCCAGTCCAGCACTTTGCATGATGTACTCTGCATACAAGTTAAATAAGCAGGGTGACAATATACAGCCTTGACATACTCCTTTCCCAATTTGGAACCAGTCCGTTGTTCCATGTCCAGTTCTAACTGTTGCTTCTTGACCTGCATACAGGTTTCTCAAGAGGCAGGTCAGATGGTCTGGTATTCCCATCTCTTGAAGCTTTTTCCACAGTTTGTTGTGATACACACAGTCAAAGGATTTGGTGTAGCCTATAAAACAGAAATAGATATTTTTCTGGAACTCTCTTGCTTTCTCATTGATCCAACGGATGTTGGCAATTTGATCTCTGGTTCCTCTGCCTTTTCTAAATCCAGCTTGAACATCTGGATGTTCACTGTTCATGTACTGTTGGAGTCTCTCTTGGAGAATTTTGAGCATTACTTTGCTAGTGTGTGAGATGAGTACAACTGTGCAGTAGTTTGAACATTCTTTGGCATTGCCTTTCTTTGGGATTGGAATGAAAACTGACCTTTTCCAATCCATTGGCCACTGCTGAGTTTTCCAAATTTGCTGGCATATTGAGTGCAGCACTTTCATAGCATCATCTTTTAAGAATTGAAATAGCTCAATTGAAATTCCACCACGTCCACTAGCTTTGTTCATAGTCATGCTTCCTAAGGCCCACTTGACTTCACATTCCAGGATGTCTGGCTCTAGGTGAGTGATCACACCATTGTGGTTATCTGGGTTATGAAGATCTTTTTTGTATAATTCTTCTGTGTATTATTGCCACCTCTTAATATCTTCTGCTTCCTCTTGCCACCTCTGCTTAATATCTTCTTTTTCTCCATAACCATTAGTATAATCTGATATACTTTATAATTATTTGGTTACTTTTTTATTGCCTATCTCTCCCAAACTGAAAAGTCATGGAAGCTTCATGAGGACAGTGATCCATCCCCATAGATTAGTACAGTTCTTCTTTTTTTTTTTTTTGTCTACTGAATACAATTAACATACATCAAGACCTGGGAAGGTCTACGATTTCACCCTGGTTGGAAGCTGACACGTTATTCTGCCATAGTTAAAGGCAGTCTGAGAGAAGACTCCTGACTCAGAGATAAGAGATGTAATTACCCAATAGCAATAGGCAGAGTCCCAGCATTTGCTCTGGTTCCCCAGGCCTAGCCTCCATAGCATGACATGAAGAGGGCCAAGGAAACATACAGAGAAAGCACAGTGTGTTACAAGGGAAGGATGCCAAGCTTTTAAAAATCCCTAATTTTTTTCAAGGGCACTATGTCTGGGAATTCCCTGGTGGCCCAACAGTTAGGACTTGATGTGTTCACTGCCACGGCCCAGGTTCAATCCCTGGTTGGGAAACCAAGATACCACAAGCCATGTGATGCAGATACACACAAAAAAACATTACACCTGCCTAAACTTTGCCCTAGTGAGAGATACTATCTTATACCCAGTGGCAAACAAACCTCCCCTTTACACCAGAGAGAGAGACTATTCTACATTCCAAGGCTATTTCCCATACAAACACTCTTGAAAAGATTGTTTGAAACACATGCAGTCGATGTCTCTACCCATAAGACATGCAGAAAGATGAGAAAGAATTGAGAATTATCTCCCCAGACCACACATGATTCCAAAATATACACAAGGCATATTTGGGGATGAAAGATCAATTCTTTGAGGTAGGCACTATTATTATTTCCATCCCCAGGTGACCTGCTTGCCCAAGGACATAGAGCTGGTAAGAGTCTCTGGTGAGCCCACTCTACCTTGGAGTACACATACCTTAGGAAAGAGAGTCCTCCTTACCTCTAACCTGGCCCTCTGTCAGCTACTTTAGGCTTTGTGAATGGGTGGCAGAAAAAGACAGAAAAGAGAGAAAGAATTTTAAAAGCTGAAGAAAAAGAAGCAAGAATGGAGTTTTTTAGCTATTCATACCTCTTCATACACCCAGAATTACAGAGGACAAGAACTTTTGAGTTCACCTTACAGATGAGAAAACCAGGACTTGTCTATGGACTTTCTCTCCATAGTCAGAGGAAGTTAGGGCAAGAACCAACTAACCACCAGTAATCTCTTCCTGATAGTCTTTACCTGGCACATTTCAGGCCTAGGGCATTCCTCTCTTACACCTTTATTACACTGATGGTGTGCTCCAAACCTGGAGGACGGGCTATGCTATGGAGTCAATCAATAACCAAGGAGATCTGTGACACAGAGCAGGAGGTGGAGACTGGGAGCCCATGCTGCCTATATGACCCTTCCAGTCCCAGGGCTCCAGAGCGAAGTGGCAAGTTTGGTGCAGTTTTCGACTCAGCTCTAGAACCAGCACTTCAGCCATGAAGGTGGCAAGCATCTTTCTCCTCACTGCATTGGTCCTGATGAGTTTATCTGGTAGGTGTCTTTGGGTATTTTTCTGATTTGAGTAAAATCTTTTTGACCTATTGCTTTATTGAGCACATTACTTTCAAGACTTAGAGTCTACTCTTGGACAGATCTTTTGATTCTAGGGAGGTGAAATAAGATCAGTGGATGAGAATTATATATAGAAAGATGGATTTTAACATAACACAGGAAAACAATTTTACTAGTGCTCAGACATGAAATTTTTTTTTCCTCAGGTAATGAAGCTGACTCTTCATCAGAGATATGGTAGAAAAATGAAGGGATTATTTCAACATCGAGTACCCTTCTAACTCTGTACATGTTTAAGGCCAATTTACAAATTTTATGTTCTCATGGAATTGCAGAAATAGGTAACAATGGTTTCCAGTTATTCAGTGTACAGGGCAGAGTTTAAGAATTTGCCTGTGACCTACAGAATATTTTTGTAAAAAATATTCTTCTTTAATAGATGGTGTATGTATATCTTCAAACTGTCCTGATAATGCTGAGAGACGATCTGAACGCCCAGAATCGGCATCAGCTTCGTTTTTGTCTCTGGAAATGGTTAACGTATTAAATTTTTTATCAGATCTAGCAAAGAAACCAAATCAGCACCTTATGAAGAAAGGAACAATGCTGTTTGTTGTATTCCCTAAATATTTATGGGAGCGGTGGTCCCTTTTCCATTTCTCATGCATATCAATTAATACAGATAGATGCCTGTGTGGCGATCACCTGCTCATTAATCTTAGACTCAATTAGATTCTAAAATCCAGTGGGATTCTCACCACATCAAGTTCTGACTATTCCAGGGAACTTCTGCTCCAAGCCCGTGAGTGTCTTATGACTTTTCAAAACATTTAGCTCAGGAGAACTACTTCCTCACCTAGTTGACCTCAGAGATTGTTAATAACAAAATCAAATCTAGCCAACATTTCTTCCTTTAGATACTATCTGATTAGTCCCCCTTCCCTGCAATATCTAGGGAGAACCACCTCTTACCTAGCTGACCTCAGAGATTGCTAATAACAAAATCAAATCTGACCAACATTTCTTCCTTTAGAAGAAGTGACTAATACTATCAAATTAGTCCCTCTTCCCTACAATGAGCTCACCCACAGTCATCATCTCCTACATAAACATGATGTCATCAGACCTGCTATTTTCTGGAGAATGCAGCATGACAATTTTAAGTATCTACCTCTAAATTCAAAAAATGTAAATTAAACTAATAGCACAAGGCAATGGAGGAAAAGAAGTCTTTGGGAACCAAAGTTTGAGTTGTCAGAAGAGCTCCACTTTTTTTAGAGTCACTTACAAAAGAAGACTCATGTGTAAATATAAAAGCTAGTTTTGCATCACAAGACCTGGTTATTGCCAGTGTTAACTGTTTTACTGGTTATGGAAACAAGTTATAGAAACTCTCCATATTTTTACCTATAAACTTAAGGTAGATACTTACATTTCCTATATCAATAAACAAGTTGTTAACTAGAATGTCAGTGAGTATTCAGAAGGTATTTGCTCTGTGCCTGAGACATCTTAAGCAGTAAGTACATCATTTTTATTTTCAAGGAAATAAGTCAACTTGTCTTAAATATACAATACTTCTGTCCTAATCAAATTTTTGCTTAATTTTTTTGAGGTTTCAGTAGGCAGGCTGTGAGTGAACAGCAGTGAGATGTCCTTGAGGAAAAAAGATGGAAATAAGAAAGGCTAGGTGGTGAAAGAGGCCAGCAGAGAAGACATAGACTTAAATGGAAGCAGAAATTTATGAATGAGAATACATCTGTCCTCCCATTCAAGACTCAACTTTACATGTCTGATTTATGTTTTCCAGGTAACAGTGGAGCTAACATCCTGGGAAGAGAGGTAAAGACAATTTTGTAATTTTTTTTACCTCTGGGGCTAGAACTGTTTGTCCCAACCAAAGCATAGTCTAATTTGCCTTTCAATTTAGCCTCAAGTTAATACAAGGAGTATGAACGCTGGCAAGGCTTAACCTACTAAACGTGGGTAGTAATTGTAGTTTCCCACAAGTGCTTATGCTGAAGGACAAATTCTCAGATACACGGGCAATTTCTGTGTAGTCATATTATGTTTGCTGTAAAGGGATTTTTATATGTAGTAGGGCTATCTTGTAGGACAAGAATTTTCAGTGGAGACCAGTGGAAGAAGTGTCCTCTTCTCATTACATTTATATATGGTGAGAAGGCCAATGACAAACCAAAAGTGCATGAGTAAATAAATTATTACATTTGTGATGTATTATAAAGAAGTTCTGATTCCATTAGCAACTTACCCTAGAATTTCCCTGGTGGCTCAGTGATAAAGAATCCTCCTACCAGTGCAAGAATGCGGGTTCGATCCATGGTTGGAGAGGATCCCACATGCCGCGGAGCAAAAAACCATGTTTGCCAAAACCATTGGTAAATGGGTCTTGTGCTCTAGCGCCCAGGAGCCACAACTGCTGAGCCCTCTAGCTGCAACGACTGAAGCCCACGAGCCTCTAGAATCATGTTCCACAACAGGAGAAGCCACTGCAATGAGAAGCCCACACACCGCAACCAGAGAGTAGCCTGTGCTCACTGCAACTAGAGAAAGTCTGTGCAGCAGCAAAGACCCAGCGCAGCCAAAAATACATAAATACGTGAATAATAGAGTGAAGTGGTGACGAGCTAAAGTTCAGGACCTAGATTGACAGGGTTTAAATCCAGGAACCAGTAATTATTAGGTGTGTGACCTGGGATGATTTACTCTCTTTGTACTTCATTATCCTTACTAGATGAAAAGTATGATAAAAAGTTCATAGGCTAGTTGTGAAGTTTAAATATAATAATACATAAAAAGCATTTAGGACAGTGTCTGCCCTGTGAAAGTCATTTCATAGTTACTAGTTCTTACTGATGGTAGAGAAAACAGGCTGTGCAAAAACTCCAAAGGTAGAAGGCACTGCATGTCTTTAAGTGACTTGGATAAGACCAGGGTAACAGGACTACTGTGTGCAAGGAAGAACATGCTTCAAGGTGTGGCTGATCTGAGAGAAGCTAGCACTTGTAGTGATTGTAAATTTGAACATTATCTCACTTACATTATTCAAACCTCACAACACCATGATGAGACAGGTAGGAAAAAGGACAACTTCATTCTTGTTTTGCAAATGAAGTGACTGTGGTTCAGAGACACCAAGAGATTTACCAATGTCACACAGCCTGTGAGTAGCAGAGGCATTATTTAAACCCAGGTTTTCTGAATGCAAATGTTGGATTCTTCCCTTTAGAACACTTAGTATCATCCTTCCGATCCATTTTTAAGGTGATCAACTCAGGGAGATTTTAGAGACTTTGCTATAAATTCAAAGAATGAAAAATGATGGGAAATGATTCTGTTTTATTCCATTTATAGGCCAAGTGTACAAATGGAGTGAACGGATGTCCCAGGATCTATAACCCTGTCTGTGGGACAGATGGAGTTACTTATTCTAATGAATGCTTGTTATGTATGGAAAATAAGTGAGTACAAGCTTGAATTTCTTTTAAAATATATATTTTAAGCTAGATGTCTTCAGATTTTTATATATCTAAGACTCAATGAATGTGCCAATAACATGTATTTCAAAGTACCTAGTTTTCCCCCAAAACATTCTTGATCTCTTTTTTTCCTTATTATATGCCTGTAAAGATTATATAGAAGTGTGTGTGTGCATTAAGATAGAAAATAGTATACATTGTGTCAAGCCTTGTGCAAGGCATTTAATATTCACAATGACTCTATGAGGTAAATAATACTAAGCTTATTGTGCCCATGAGAAAATTAAGGTTTAGTTAGTTTAAATAATGCTCAGCAGTAAGTGGCAGATCTGGTACGAAATCGTTGCTCTTTCCATGATAAAGTCAGGTACCAGGCTAAGTACGTGTGAGATACAGAAGAAGATCCTACAGGTTTTGTCTCCTGTTCGCTTACGCTCAATGCTAACACAGTGTGGTCAGTGGTAGTGTAAGCAAAGTGATCTGAGAGCACAAAATCAAAAAGAATTAATTATGCCCGCTAGGATTTTGAGACGTTTGGAGGCTTTCTCTAGGACATTCTAAAGAAGGAGAGAGAAGCATTCCAATATGAAGAAAAAACTGAACAAAAGCCAGAAAATAAGTGATAATATAGTGAGTATAAAAGGTGTTTAAGAAATTACCAAGCATAGAGGAGGGGAAGTGTTTGAATGCTTCTTTAATTAATTTTTTAAAAAATCAGTTCTATGATAAAAACTCAAGCTTTTATAGCAAACGAGATAGTATGGATTTTTTAAAGCTCACAGTATGCCCCAAATTCCATTATACTTAAAAAAAAATTCTTTGAAATAGTAATCATCGTGTTTACTAAAATCCTAAAATATGCAAATGTGAATTATATAGATTAGGTGACCAGAAACATATTTTGGTAACACTTTTCTTAATGGATGTGAGAACCAGCCTCAGTGGCGATTCTGAACTGACTGCAGGTGGGTAAGTGATGGGACTCAGACTCACGAGCTCAGAGAAATAAATTTGCCACAGATGTCCTGTCTTTGCTACAGAACACTTTCTGCCAAGCATTGTGCTAGTCCCCTCCGCTTTCCTTTTGGATATAACTAAGAGAAAAGAGCACAAATAAGGTAGCTTCTTATAACTTGTGACAAACGCCATTAAATGGGTGTTAGCAATGTGCTACAGGAATGAAGGAGAGAGACAAATTGCCTCTTACTGAAAGGGTCAAGAAAGGATTCATGAAAAGGAAGTCATTTAAACAGTGGTCTGTTTTCATAGTATCACAAGGGCCTTCCAGGTTAAATAAAGATGTAGAATGGTCAAACAAAAGTGATTTCACAAGGAACCTAGAAAACTGTTATTTTGGAACTGATGTGGTGTTAAGACTTTGATTTAGACTCAAATGACTGCATGCACTTCCATCATTTCACTGCTCTAATTCATTGTACTGTGAACCCTCTTCCTGATCTGCTTTAAATCATTTCAGAAAATTCTTGGTATTTAACAAGGATTGTGGAATTGGGTTCCCAGGGAGAAATATTTAATATCCTAAAGTTTTAGGCTGAAAACATTAGATGCTCTGCTTTTTAAAAAATCCCACATTAAAGACTTATAAAAGAAAGTTGAAACCACCTGTTAGTTTTCTCATGGCCTATGCTATTGATGTTAAAGTCAAACATCATATTTCCGTCCAAGAGGAGGGGAAAGCAGTACAACAGCCTTGAGACTTGGGGTCCAAGTGCCAAGATCAAATGGCCTAATATCTAGAGTGAAACACTGGAAAAATACGAACATAGGGCTGGGACACCCTGTTTCTTCAGACTTAATCTATCAGTCCTACCTGCTTTTTCTATTCTTTTAAAAATATGTAAATATGGGAGCAATATTTGAATGCCCGAAAAAGTAATTTCTCTTCCTATATTTCTGTGATAAGAAAGCAGGAGAGGGAAATGTGACTTTTTCAAAAGTACCATTTTTTAAAAAATATTTTTAGTTGGAGGATAATTGTTTCACAGTGTTTATACAACAGTGTGAATCAGCCATAAGTGTACATATGTCTTCTCCCTCTTGAACTGCCCCCACCTGTCCCACCCCTCCAGGCTGTCGCAGAGCACTGCGTTGAACTCCCTGTGTTGTACACCAACTTTCTATTAGATATCTATATTACATATGGTAATATATATGTTTCAATGCTACTCATGTATCATTTTGCTTTTCTTTCTACTGCCCATTAAAACCCCCAAACAAGTATTGATATATTGTATGGTAACTAGTTCCAGGTTCTGACACTAGTTGTTGAGTTTTGAGATGGGTAGACGAACAAGGGCTTGCATCTCCTTGATCATTATGCTCCTGGCAGATATATTCAGTAAGAACTTTTTCTCTAATTACTCTATATCTTTTCAGGCAACCTACACTGGCAAATTCTTTTCTATAAACTAGCATTCTCCTGTAAGAACTTTTTGCAATGACAGAAATGCTCTCCAATATGGAGGCCTCTAGTCATGGCACCAGCACTTAAAACGTGGCTACCATAACCAAAAAGCTGGACTTTTAACATTATTAAACTGATTTAAATTTAAGCAGCTACATGAGATCATGTCAGCTGTCATGGACAGCTTAGCTATGGAAAATAAGTCAAACAATGGGCTCTGTCTAGATGCTACCTTAAGCAACTATCCTACGAGATAGCGATATGATTTCCTTTTGCAAAATCTCACAGATGGGAAGCCCCAGAGTCCTAAGGCAAAGGTCCGAAAGTAGCCTGGGCATCTGCTAAGCTGGAAATCTGGTGGCTAGAACAATGACATCAGCAGGAAAAGCAACAATGGATAAAAGATTAATTCTGAGGCTTTTAATGATGCCCTGTTAGATCTGTCAGCTCTCTAAAGATAAACATTTTTCCCTTCTGTTGTATCCTCAATATAGGTAGTAGTTCTCAATCAGTATTTGATGACTTAATAAGTGAATGAGTATATGAATAAGAGAAACAGACATGGAAGGAAATCTCAAACCTCTCATTTTAAATAAAGCTGAATTTTTTTCCTTGTTTTCCCCCCATACTCACATTTTCTCAGCAAAGTTTAAACTAATTTTTTTTCCCAATCTCTTCTACAGGGAACGTCAGACTCCTGTCCTCATTCAAAAATCTGGGCCTTGCTGAGAACCAAAGTTCTGAAATCCCATAAGTACACTACAATGCGTGGCTGGCCTGATTGCTGAATAAAGTGCATCTAAGTATGTCCTGTTGCTCCCATATGCTTTTTCCTCAAAGGCATGTTTGATTATATCGAGAACAGAGGATGGAGGCAAACTCAGAATAAACTGAGTTTTACAAAATATAGCAGTCCTAAAATCTTGGACAGGATTTCTTTGAGGATGCTTTTCCCTTCCCCATCCTCCTCACATTCTGAGGACTCTGTCCCAGGAAATGTGATCACAGACATTAAATGACAGGATTCAGTTGATCACAAATATCATAACCTCATGGGGATTAGACAAGCATTTTAAGAAACAATTGGAAAACTGTCCAGAAACATGTTGCCTCACACCATTCACTGACTGAAATAATTTCTTTAGGGTTCCTTGGAATTTAACTGAGCATCTATTGTGCCTGGCACTGGTCTAGGCACAGAGGCATAGGATTCTGAAATGCTGCCTGTCTAGTGGAATAGAGTTTAGTCTTAAGATTTTCTATATATCTCACAGTAGATTTGAGGTTAGGCACGACTTTCTCAAAGAGGCTCTGAATCATTGCAGAAACCAAAAGAGTTATATTTTCTCAACTGTGCAGTGGAGGAGCCTTTGCATTCACCCTTAATTTTCCTCCATCAGAGGCCATTCCTCACTAGTTACTGAGGTAAGTGGCAGTGATGTAGAGCTCCCCATTTTCGCTGGCAACCTGAGGACTATATCTCTGGCTTGACTTGGAGATCTGCTTTTTTGGGTCTCACGGGTTTGCACTGAGATGAACAAAGAGGAACTAAGACCTGATTCTGATTTAACTTTTGCCACCAAAGCACCCCCAAGAGATGATCTGCTGTGAAAAGAAGGGACTACAGACCTACAGATCTACAGATGAAATGATCATGAGGCCTCTGTGTAGTGCACTTTGCTTTAGCTATGAGCCACAATAACCCTGTGTGGTTAACCTTATCTCGTGAGTAAACTTAGCAACGTTAGATAACCTGACTAATATCATCACCAAATAAGGTGGCAAAGTTAGGCTTTTAATTCAGGACAGACTCCAAATATAATGCATTTTAGTCTAAACCACAATCACCCCAGGTAGACTATCCCTTCCTGATTTCTTCTACAGGAACTTTAGGTAACATGCTCACATTAAATGGCCTATGTAGAAATAAGAAGTGCCTCAAAAGGAAAAAGATGTCTATAATCACAAAAATAGAGAAGGAAAAGCAGCTTGAATTCCAAGCTCAGACAAAGAAGTAGCCCAGAATGGAGAAGTGGATAGAGGGTGAGATGACCCTGAGATGCATCAAGTTCCCTGATAAATAGTGAAGAATTCATCACCCATTGAACTGAAAGTAGTCAATAAAATCTGTCCCACACTTGCAAAACACAGTTGCATGACACTTAAGGTTTAGGTTAAATCTTGTGATATTCAGAATACACATGGCTTGAGGTTTAAATCTAACCACTAGGGGATGCTGTGGTCTACTAAGTGACTCAGCCAAACACACACCTCCCAGCTCACCAGGTTAAGTTATGGATGCAAGATGGCTTCCAGCATCTTGTCTGTGATGCTAGAGGACATTTGAAGGGCAATGCTAAGCTTACAGAAGTTTGCTTTAGTAAACAGATTTAAACATTGAATGCTAGAAATTGTCGTGGTCTGGAGAGAAGAGATTTGGAGATTACAGGCAGAGGCAATACATAAACCTAGATTGTCTACCTTTAATGGTTCTGCTCACTTTCTGACTCGTTAAAAAATAAATTTAGGCAACCCACATTTCTGCCTAGCCATATTTTTGAGGCCTCCAACCTAACTGTTGCCAGGCCAAGTTCTTGGGAAACAAAACAAGACAAACAAGAGGAAACAGCTGCCTCTGGAAAGAAAGAAAGGGCAACTAATGGCACCTGAAAGCAAATTTATGAGTCACATGACTGAAGAATCTGAAACTGAGCAGGATCCTGGAGGGCCCTCCTGGGTAGGAATCCTTTCCCTGTCCCATATTTCTCATTTGCAGAAAAAGGGCTTCAGCCTCCTGGGCCTTCCCTGAGCTCCAAATAGCACATTCAATCAGGAAAGAAAGAGAAGGCAGAAACAAAGGAAGAGTGATCAAGAAACTAAAATGCAGTGATTAAAGCCGAGTCCTGGTTCCTCCTCAAGGGGTGTTGTTGCTGTCCAGTTGCTAAGTTGTGTCTGACTCTGCAAACCCATGGACTGCAGCACGCCAGGCTTCCCTGTCCTTCACTATCTCCTGGAGTTTGCTCAAACTCATGTCCATTGACTCGGTGATGCTATCCAACCATCTCATCACCCACTTCTCTTGCCCTCAATCTTTCCCAGCATCAGGGTCTTTTCCAAGGGATACACTTAATGATATCTTTGAGTTCTTCTGCAGGAACTAAGGCCCACAACCAGGTGGAGGGTGGTAACTTCAGGCTGAGCACAAAGTCCCCGGAACCACTCTGTTATCTCACCCACCAACCCATCAGAAGAGAATCACACACACTATAGCCCTCACCCCAAATTTTACCTATAAAAATTTCTCCCAGAACGGCATCAGAGAATTGGGGTTTTTGAGCATAAGTCACCTCATGCCTATTGCTTGGTCCTCCAATAAGTCTCTGCTCCACACTCTGACGTTTTAGTCGTTTGACCTCACTGTGCAATGGGCACATGAACTTATGTTCAGTAACAGACTGATTTCTTACAAATGATTTTCTCCTGCCAATCTGGATTTGGAAAGGAAGGGACAAAATGAAACCTACTGTCCTCTCTGGAGCAGGCACTACAGATAGAGACAGTGATGAGCCAGCTGACTTTGGTGTCAACTACAAATTGGCGCTTGCCATCTACCTATCTACCGTTGCAAGGATTAAGTCATATGCTGCTACAGGAGCTGACCTTCAGCATCCCCTGAAAGGAGTTCAGGGTGAAGATCAGAAATGAAGCGCACAGTTGCAAGGGTGGGGGATGGCAGGACAGATCTTTCAGATAGATAATTTCAGGAGCCCAGTTCTTGTATCTCCCCGTATCTAGAAAAGCACTAAAATCCTTCATGTAATGACTGTTCCCTATAACTAGCAAAGGCGTCATGAGACTAGTAGAAACCTTCTGTAAAAAATATGTGCTTGATTGCATATATTCCCCCTCCACCAAAAATCACATATATGCTGACCTTTCCCCCCACCACCTCTTTGGAACAGTTTCCACATAACTATTCTTATAGGCTTCCCATGTTGCTAGTGGTTAAAAAAAAAAAAAAAGAAAGAAAGAAGGAAAAAAACCCTCCTGCCAATGCAGGAGACAGACAGCGGTTTGAGATCTGATTTGGGAAGATCCCCTGGAGGGAGGGCATGGCAACTCACTCCAGTATTCTTGCCTGGAGAATCCCATAGACAGAAGATCCTGGTGGGCTACAGTCCATAGGGTTGCAAAGAGTTGGATATGACTGAAGCAAATTAGCACCACACAAGTATTCTTATCTTTGGCTGGATTTCCCTGGATCCTCTCTGCAGGTTCTGGAGAGAGTAGTGTGTCCCAGTGGTCACCAGGAACTTTAAAGAAGGAAAAAGAATTTTCTGTCTATGCTTTATGGTGAGTGTTGGCTGAGAAGACCCCATTTTTTTCAGGACACATCTTCTCCAAGGCATGTCATACATGGATAAGCTTATCTAGCTTAAAAGTTCTCCACTGTGGCCATTGTAATTCATGATTATTTTTGGTAAGCTTAACTTGCTTGTTCAGCCTTCAAACAAAATTTCACTTGCTGGAGGCCTCACTCTGGACCCAATCCAGCATAAGCCGGACCTGGTCTGATCCTCCACCGGGTCTGGTTTAGGGGTCAGACCAGGTCTGTCACTGGAAACAGTCCTATCTCTATGTCCCACGCCACCCTACTCAGGCCAGTTTGGGGATCCAGGCCATGGGGGAAAAAAATGCTCAAAACGCAAAAAATGCTCAAAATAGTGAACGCTCCTAACACACAAGCCATGGATAGAGGATTAGAGGAAACTTACTCACCACCTCCAGAGGCAGTGAGGAAGCAGCGACTCAAGGGTCTCCTCAGGTACATTTGCTGCTGTTGCTCATTGCCACTGAGGGCCGTCAAAGGTCTCCTTGGTTCCTGTTCAGTCACCAGACCTGTGATAAGATAAACTGAGGCATATTAAAAATTCTGTTTGAGCAAAAATGGATTCAAATTGTGCAGCATCCAAATAAGTAGTTAGGAAGGAGCCCCAAGGGTCAATGCAAAGTGGCATTTACATTCACAAAGGAGGCAGGATGAGAAGTTACTGGACAAAAAGCAGATTGAGTGTTGTAGGTTACCTTTTCTTTAGGGGATGGTGGGAGGTCTATCAGGCAAATTACTTAACTGATGCTGATTAGGCAATTTCTGATCACTAGTTTAAGATTCTATTTCTGGGAATGGAAACTAAAATGAAGTTAGTTCAGTTTGGAGACGTGAGTCTTAGCCTAAGAAACTCCATTTGGGCAGGTTGCCTTATTTTTAACAGACCCATCAGAAAGCATGTAGATTGCTGTTTCATTTGCTGTTTCATGTCTGGTTGGTTCAGCAGCTCAGGCGGGGAGACTCAAGAAGGAGGGGATATATGTATATGTTTGGCTGATTCACAGTTTTCCTATAGCAGAAACTAATACAACATGGTAAAGCAATTATATGCCAATTAAAAAAAGAAATTTACAACTGAAATGTGTTTAGAGGAGAGAGGCTACCATGATAGGTAAAATTTGCAACTTTGTGCTATAACAGATGGTTGAAAGAATAGGAAACTTTGGTCTGAGGAAAGGAAAACCTTTAGAAATCTGGTGGCTTTTTTCAAACAATTTAAGGGAGGGAGTGTTAACACCATGAAAGCAAAAACTCTCTTCTCAGTGCTGTATTATAGGCTGGAAGACAGTATCTAACATCTAGAAGGTGCCTGATTAATATTCTTTTTGCTACATAAATG